GGTTCAGGGGTTTAGGGTTGTAGGGTTTAGGGGTTTAGGGTTTGGGGTTTAGGGTTTGGGGGTTTAGGGTTTAGGGTTTGTAGGGTTTAGGGGCTTAGGGTTTGGGGGTTTAGGGTTTAGGGATTTAGGGTTTGGGGGTTTAGGGGTGTAGGGTTTGTAGGGTTTAGGGGTTTAGGGTTTTTTGGTTTAGGGTTTAGGGATTTAGGGTTTGGGATTTAGGGGTTTGTAGGGTTTTGGGTTTAGGGGTTTGTAGGGTTTAGGGTTCGGGCCTTAGGGGTTTAGGGGTTTGGGGTTCAGGGTTTGGATGAGTGAGAACTGAGGCTGCCACTCAAGATCTTCTTCACCGAGCACGGCGCCGCCCGTGATATTCTGGCGAGCATTGGCGAGGATGAGGCATGAAGTCTCTGGGGGAGGCTCTAGCTCTAGGGGTTCTTTGGGGGGTCGGGGGTCTTAGTAATCCGTACTTGCATTGAGTAGAGCCAACCCTGAACCCCTAAACCCAAACCCCCTAACCCCTAAACCCTAAACCCTAAACCCTAAACCCTAAACCCCCTAACCCCTAAACCCCTAAAAATACCCTAAGCGGGATCCTAATCGGAATTACGATGCTTATTATACCTTTATAAAAATACCTACTTACTAATTACTAAGCCCTGGACCTTCCAACTAGGTTTAAAGGGCATTCCAATAGTGACAATAGTGCTCCGTTCAGGGCCCTTGTAGTGATTAGAATAGGGCTTGGTGCCTCTTTTGACTATCCTTCTGATAAGGACACTTCATGGAGTACCGGTAACAACAACTCAGGCTTCGAGAGTATGTGCGTCTGTGAATCTTGGCTTAAAGTCCAAAAACCCCAGAACCGCACGCATCCTTCAGCCAAGCCTTGAACACCACTTGCAACCGAAAACCTAACTCATTCAGACCCTTCACAACCGAATCCTTGAACTACTACGTCCTAAAAATCCTAAAACCAATGTTCCCAAGCCCCAAAACCTTAAACCCTAAATCCTTAACCTTGATCCCCAAACTAGCTTAAACCCTTGAGCTCTAAACCCTGAACCCTAAGTTAGCCTAAATCCGTAAACCCTACCTACAGTCTCCGTTGTTGTCCTGTTTGGGGTCTACCACAATGCAGACTATAGGTAATGTAGGGGTCTTAATAATTCGACTAGGGTTTGGGGTATAGTATACTATAATTATAAGAAGGAACCCCCCAAAAAATAGTAGAGGTAATTTAGTCAGGCCCCTACATTAAACCAAAATACCCCGAAGCCCTAAAGCCTAATACCCTAATACCCTATAAGACTCCTATATATAGCTCCAGCTTGGAGGGTTTCGTTTGTGGTGTTTGGGTTTGGGGTTTAGGGTTTAGGGTTTAGGGTTTAGGGTTTAGGGTTTAGGGTTTAGGGTGTACGGTTTAGGGTGTAGGGTTTGGGGTGTTTGCGTTAGAATCGTCCTGTTTTGGGCTTCGTATTCAGGTTCCTACGTTAAGTCCCATCCTTCGGGTAGGGCCTTGACACCACGGGTCAGCGACTTGAAGAGACCGCCGACACGGCCTTCGCTGTCCTCGAGAGCTTTGCTTCGGTGCTGACCGGCTTTCTGTTTTGGGGCGATGGGCTTTAGGATTTAGAGGTGTCCCGTTCACGGTTTGGGATTACTATTTTTGACAGGTTTAGGGATTTAGTTAAGGCTTCAGGCTTCGGGATTAGGGCTCTAGGAAATCATCACGTTGCATGTTGCAGCATAGGCCGGAAGGCAGTAGCACTTGTCTATAAACTTAGGGATTAGGGTACCCTAAACCCTAAACCCTAAACCCTAAACCCTAAACCCTAAACCCTAATTAGGGTTTAAGGTCTCGGGTGCAGGGCGTAGAGTTTGGGGAACACAAACCATAGACTCCCTGAGCGTCATGTCGGGCATCAACCCAACCATCGAATCCCAAAACCCCCCCAAAAAAAAATATTCTGAACCCCTAAACCCCTATAAACCCTACTCTAATCATTAAAGGCCCCTACATTAAGGTACCCTGAACCCTGAACCCTAAACCCTAAACAAAAGCTCACCGAGCCCCAAAAGCGAAGCCAGAAGCCGCAGGAAGCCGCCCAGAACCCCCCAACCCCAACGCCGAAAGCTTACAGGGTTTAGGGTTCAGGGTTTAGGGTACCTTAATGTAGGGGCCTTAATCATTAGAGTAGGGTTTGGGGGCCCATATATACTATGTTTATAGTAAGGAGCCCCCAAAATAATATTGGTGATTATGTAGGCCCCTCATGGTCCCCATTTTAAACCCTAAACCCAAGCCTCCTGAACCCCAAACAGTCGATCCTTAATGTTTACAGCCCTCAAGCGAACTCTCACAGAAACGCCCGAATAGAACCCTGGAAAGGAAACCAAACCCGGACGTCGGCCGTCCTCCTTGGCTTCGTCCTCCGACCCCGACGACGACTTGATGGACTCGACCTGCCACTAAAATCAGGGGTGTTTGGTTTCGGGCTCACGGCTCAGGATTCAAGGGTTGAGAGGTATAGGTTTAGGGCAGAGGGTAGTATAGGGGCCTTAATAATTTCCATAAGGTTTCGGGTGGTCTATAGCACCATAATTACAATAAGGAAGCCCCAGGATCCAGTTCTAGTCATTAAGGCCCCTAATTAGGGTTTAGGGTTTAGGGTTTAGGGTTTAGGCCTATATTATACAATTTGAGGTTTCGGGCTTTGCTTTGAAAGTTCAATGCGACCTCGCCCTCCTGGCCGCAGGCCCGCCCCATTGGGTGTGCACGCCGGAAAACAGGGGCTCTGGGCTTAGGTTTTAAGGGCTAAACCCTCAGCCCTAGACATTCTTTCTCATATGTATTTAAACCTTCAGTCTTTCGTTGGAAAATGGCGCTTTCGGGGCTTTGTTCGCCAGATTATCTCGAAGAAATCGCAATTTTCCCACGCAGCGCCCGGATTCGTTGGAATGTGGCCCTGGCCTTCGTACCTTCAATTAGTGTTTGGGAGTTTAGGGTTGAGGGTTGGTTTTTTTTGAGCGCCTTTTTCCGTCAGCACGAAAAGTCCCTGCGGAACGCTTATTCTTTGGTTTGGAGTTTTGGGTTTTAGGGTTCAGGGTTTAGGGTATAATGGGATCCCTAATATGTTGGAGGTATATCACTAAATTAAGGGATGTTGGAAGGTCTGGGACGATCCATGATCCCGAGGAGCCACTGACATCGCGATCGTCCCTGCTTCTAGGGTTTAGGGTTTACCTGGGCACTGCGAGAACCTACCCTCTTAGTGTTATAGCCTCTGTGTCTAAGGTCCTATAATATGCACAGAATTTTTTGGGGGGTGCAGGTAAGGCTTGTTTCAGCGTCTGGGTGAAGTTTTTGTTTGGGTTCAGGGCCTGGGGTTTAAGAGTTGCCCAATAAGCGCTGCAAGGGCTTGAGGTAGGTGTTCTTCATACCCCGGTGCTCTTTAGCAGAAGGTGCTTTGCGATGCTGCAGATGCCAGGCTGGGGTCCATTTAGAGAGCTGCCATCAACTTATCATAAGCAAGTTTAGGGTTTAGGGTTTAGGGTTTAGGGTTTAGGGTTTAGGGTTTAGGGTTTAGGAGCAAAGAGGAATGGTACCATAATCTGCCGAGAGTATAGTGACAGCGCAGGGAAGTAGCCATGGACTCACATACATGGGTTACACGAGCATGGTTTGAGCAACACGGGAGAAAGCTACCGCATTGTGGTAACGTATTTTCATACAAGTATACATTATACTGCGACAAATGGGTGGCAGCTAATGGCGGTGGTGGCATTGGAGATGTAGCGGCCAGTGGCAGTGGCGGCGGCAGTAGTGGCAGTAGTGGAAGTGGTGGTAGCAGTGGTGGTGCTAGTAGTAGTAGTAGTAGTAGTAGTAGTCGTCGTCGTCGTCGTCGTCGTAGTAGTAGTAGTAGCGGCAGCAGCAGCAGCAGCAGCAGTAGCAGCAGCAGCAGCAGTAGGAGTAGCAGTAGCAGTAGTGTAGTGGTTGTGGATGAGCAGCAGCAGCAGTAGCAGCAGCAGTAGGAGCAGTTGCAGCAGCACTGAGCAAAATGAAGCCGGTACCTCGGCATCGAAGTTTTCATCGTCCGAGCCGAGAAACTCTGCCTGATCGCGGGCGCATTGGGACAATCGGGCTCAGGATGTCTGTTTGGTCTAAGGTTTAGGGTTTAGGGGTTTAGGGGTTTAGGTTTTAGGGTTTAGGGGTTTAGGGTTTAGGGTTTAGGATTTAGGGTTTAGGGTTTAGGGGTTTAGGGGTTTAGGGTGTAATAATAGGGGCCTTAATAATTAGAATAGGGTTTTGGCGCCCATTATGCTAAAATCATAACAAGGAACCCCTACAATAGTATTGGCACTTATTTCGGCCCCTACATTATTTCGGGTGTTAAGGCGTTTCTAGGTTCTTGGGTGTTCGGGGTCAGAGCTTCTGCTTCTGCGGGCGTGGAGCTTTAAGCACAGCACGCGGGTCTTTACAGCGCAAGAGTGGAGGGAGGTCGACATCCGCCGATTCCCGCAAGTCGAGTTCAAGGAGGCCGAAGTAAAGCTGTAGCCCAACAATCAACCTTGAGACCTGAAGCCTAACCCTAAACCCAAATCCGTAATGTAGGGGCCTTAATAATTACAATAGGGTTTGGGTGATAATATACTATACTTATAATTAAGGAACCCGCAAAATAATATTGGCAATTGTTAAGGCCCCTATATTAACCTTAAACCCCAATCCGTAAACCCTAAACCCTAAGACCTGAACTTTAAACCCTAATGAAACCCGAAATGAGAAGCCCTTGAAATGGGGGGAGCCTGAGACCTCGAGCCTGGTCCCCAAAATGTAACAGGGTTTAGGGTTGAGGGTTTAGGGAAAGTCCAGGACATTTTCAGGTGGGTAGCTACCGGAATAGGAGCCTTATAGAAGGTCTACATACCTTATGGAAGCCGTACAGAAGCCCTACATACCCAAAACTCCCTAAACTCCCTAAACCCTAAACCCAAAGCCCTATATACCCTAAACTCCCCACCTGTAGTTTCCTTCAACTAAGAGCCAACTCTAAACCCGAAGATCTACAGAGGCCTGAACTCTGAACCCCCACGGGTACAACTCGAAACCCTACATGAACCTAGGGCTCTTAACGGAACCCTTTAGGGAACCCTAAACTCGAAACCCAAAACCGTGAACCCTAAACCCGAAAGACTAAACCCTAAACCCGATATAGGGTTTAGGGTTTAGGGTTTAGGGTTTAGGGTTTAGGGTTTAGGGTTTAGGGTTTAGGGTTTAGGGTTTAGGGTAAAACCTGAAACCCTTAGCAGGAACCTTCGAGAAACCCGACCTTCGGCATGCGGCCTGCTTTGCGGCGAGGTCGGCATCATTGTCGGGCTTGTTCTTGCTAAAGTCCAGCTCCTTTTCAAAAGGGCTCAGGGGTTTGGGGCTTTAGGGGTTTAGGGCATTTAGGGGTTTAAGGTTTAGGGCTTCAGGGGACAAGGCTTCAGGGTGCCTGGTGGAAGACTTTTTGGGGCTTAGGGTAAACTTCTAAAGAGGAGGATTCGGATTCTGGGGCTCTAAAGTTTAGGCTCTTGCGGGAGTTTGAGGTTCACTCGCTTGACATTTTGGCTTCGGCACGGCGTTGGGCTTCATGATTTTGGGGGGGTTGACCATTGGGAAGACACTTCTTGACTATGAGATAGTAACCCAAAAAGGAATCCTATTCGATGTCTAGGTCGGGGACAGGTTTTCTTGAACAGCCACCATATTCGGTTTAAGGGTGTGAGGCTGTCAGGTTTACCCTAAACCCTAAGCGAGAATAAGGCTTTGGGGGGTGTGTGTATATATATATATATATACCATGGCACCATGGCACTTAATATAACTATCTGAGGACTATAAGGAGATACTATTAATCATTATTCAGGCCTCTGCATTAGTAACTAGCTGCTAGCTGACAGATCATGGAGGACGAAACCCTAAAGCCTAACCCACCAATCTGACAAAGAACAAATGGATTGCAGCTAAATCCCGCCTAGCACATAACGGTTTAGGGTTTGGGGTGTAGGGTTTAGGGTTTAGGGTGATTTCAAGTTTCTTCATCTACGGCAAAGGACAATGCCAGCCTCTTGCGCTGCAAGGCAGTCGCACGAGCCTGTTCTTCCCGCGACGATAATATTTGGAGACACAACACAATTTGTGCTGAGCGATGTCTGCTGCGCACCTCTTGACGAGAACATTTTTCTTGCTGTGGGCACAGATGTGCCACGAACCCTGCGCCAAAATCTGGCGCTGAAAACCCAAACCCACAGCCGAAACCGTAAACCGCAAAACCAAACCTTAAACCCTAAACGCTACAACCAAAAAGGCCAACAGCTGACCCTGCACGGGCCCTTATAGTAACCCTTGCAAAGCCCCTTAGCTCTTTCTCGGAACACTGAATGCTGCTATCACCCGTACCCTTCTAGAAACCCTCAGCTCGACATAGCAACTCTGTTTGTCGAAACGCAAGAACCCTCGTAGTAACTTTATAGTTTAGGGTTTAGGGTTTAGGGTTTAGGGTTTAGGGTTTAGGGTTTAGGGTTTAGGGTTTAGGGTTTAGGGTGTGTTAGCCCTTCTGTTTGTCAAAACGCTGGAGGCTCGGGTCCTGCATCAAACTCTTGGAGACCTTGCCGCCATCCCAGTGGCGTGCCTTGAGACTGCGTCTTTCAGAGATCGTTTAGGGTTTAGGCAAGTTTAGGGTTTAGGGTTTAGGGTTTAGGGTTTAGGGTTTGGTTCAAGTTTAGGTGGAAAAGACGGCTCAGGGTTTTCGGGTTTAGGGCATGGGCTTTACACTCAGGTTTGTGTTCCTGTTACTTTAAGAATACGGGCGCACCCACTTATCGCGCGCTTGCATCAGCATGTGGTCCCGCCCCAAACACCCCAACTATTCTCAGTCTAGGCTTCACCCCCAGACCCCCTTGAAGGAGGGCTCTCGGCTTCCTGTCGCAGCTCTACAACAAAAGACCACATTTAAAAGCAAACCACTGCTGAGATGGATGGGTGTCGGGGTGTGGGTCCTCGCGGCCTCTGGCCCTGGCCAACGAACCCCAAAAGCCTTAAGCCTCAAATCCCTAAACCCGTAATACCCATCTAAAGCCCTAAACCCCAAACCGCAAAAGCCCAAAGCCCGAATCTTCCAATCCACTCGCCCGCAGTCCCGTATCTCCGAACACGCAGCCCTCAACCCCCTAAAGCCTCAAAACGCCTGGTCGCCAAATTCCTCGTAAAACCCTGCCTAAACCCCAAAAAGCTCTAAGCCCTAAAACCCTGAACCAGAAAATCGAAAACACCAATAACCCACACCAACCCAGAACCTAATGTAGGGGTCTGACTAATCTCAATAGGGTTCTGGGGCCCATGATACTATATTTATAATCAGGAGACCTCCCAAAAAATAGCATTGGTAATTATATAGGCCCCGATAATACAGTCCCACCAGCACCACACCCTTCAAAAGCGGAGGCTTGGAGTTCACAGTTCAGCCTCATAGGTAACTTAGACGCCTGAGAAATTAATGTAGGCGCCTGCAAAATTAGAAAAGGGTTTTGGGCTCCTGTATAGCATAAATAGAATAAGTCGAACCCCCAAAATAGTATTGGTAATTAAAGAACTTTTGGGTAGATCACAGTTCGCCCAAACCCTGAACCGTAAACCTTAAACCCTAAACCCTAAACCCGAAACCCAAAACCCAAAAATCGCCTCCTTCCCCTTCTTGGGCTTCTCTGCTGACGCAGGTTCCGCCTTGCTCCGAGGGAGTTTGCTGTCTCTGGCTGTGGTTTGGGCCTTAAAGGGTTTAGGGCTTAGGGCTTAGGGCTTTTAGGGTTTAGGGTTTAGGGTTTAGGGCTTTTAGGGTTTAGGGCTTACGGCTTTTAGGGTTTAGGGCTTTGGGGTTTGGGGTTAGGGCTTCAGGAATTTAGTATGTTCTACTAGATCATTTCAAAATACGTCATATCATGTCATCTCAAATCATATTATACTATTTATGTTGTGCCGTGACATGTCATATCATAACAGATCATACCGTAAAATAACATTTTTACATCACATTATACCACATCATGTTTTCGAGGTCAAGATCACGGGCATGTCTACTGGAATTCGTACTGGCGCGGCAAGTGGTGGCTGTTGCTACTGACGGTTTAGGTTTAGGCCTTATTTGGATTTAGGCTTTAGGGTTTAGGGTTTAAAGTTTAGGGCTTAAGGGTTACGGGGTTAGGGCTTAAGGGGCTTATTGTTCAGGGTTTAAGGGTTCAAGGGTTTAGAGGGCTTAGGGTTTAGGTTTTAGCCGCTGCAAGAGATATCAACTTCGACTGTCAACGCACAGGATCATCAACCCTACATCGCGAATCCGGAAGAGTCTTGGGGCATACCATGCCACCACCGGTTCTACAACAATAGCGAGTTTCCGTGCAGCAATGGTGTAAAGCCCACCAAACCCTCAATCCTGTTCTAGACCAGCCCTGCAGCGCACTGTAGACCCTGAGTTGCAGAATCTCCCAGCCCTGTCGATAAAGACCTTTGTTCTACAAATCCCCAAACTTAACCTTAGAGTTGAGGGTTTCGGGTTTATGGCACAGAATCCCACGATCTCAGGATCCCGCGACCACAAATTCCAGCAATCCCTATACCCACACGACCGACTCGAAGGTAACTGTGTGAGGCTGGCGAAAGAAACGTTGTCCCAGTCGACCAGCTTCCGCACTAAGCCGGGTTTCCTCGGCGGGGACCCAGACGGCTGGAACATGGTGGATATGTGGCCCCTCCACGGAGTCTTGCTGTCCACATCCAAGGACAATGGGTCGAGGGACAGCAAGCTTGATAGGTGCTCCGAAGAACGTGGGGTCTTTGCCACGACGCCCCCCCTTGTTGAGATGATCCGCAGCCACCCGCATGACCTGCGTGGCTTCCCATCTTTTCGGACAGTCGGTGGCCGCGTGCTCCAAATGGCACATGTCGAAGGCCAGGTCCACTATAGCCCATGGCGGACTCTTTCCGATTCGCCTCAGTACCGCTGGCATGCTGACACCGTCATGATTTCACGAATATATGATGATGACACTGACTTAATCGTGCAGCTCGCCAGTTTCTAGTCATTCTGGTTAGCTGAGGCGCAGGTGCAACTCGCGAAAATTGCCCTCTCTGCTAGGACACAGACGAAGGACTTGACATCCACCGTAGGCACCCGGGAAATGTGCTTGATGTAGTCCTCGTCACGTGCCAGTATCAAGGACGCTGCCATTCGTTCATGCCCATCATGGTCCTGACCAAATCGACCATACGCGGGTCGTTCGTCAGGCAAAGGCCGTCCCCATCTGCGTCACCACCAGAGGCCTTCGTCACCGTGTCCTCTTCGCGGTTGCAAACAATGGTGTTGCGGGGGACATTTCTGGCCCACGGCGGGGGTGCCTTTGCTTCCCACAGTCGTACATCCGAAGGAAGCAGCACCGGGAAGCGCGAGACCACAAACCACCCTTGCAACCACCGCTCGCCAGCGAAAACATGACACTGCCCGGACTTCAGCGTGTTCCAAGGATCGCTCGCCGCCGTGACCGTGACACTGTCGCCTTCAACTGGGAGTCGTGGTTTCGCCAGGAATTCTCTGCGCATGGACTTTAACCGCATGCCCCCGAGTTTGAGCGCATACTTGGTGCCATGTCCCAGAGCCCACAGGGCGTACTCTGGAGCTTCCTGCGTCAGCAACGCCGCGGAGGGGGGTGAATCGATATTGTCGTGGAACCTGATAACAACGCGGTCCGACGGCGTGCGCATCTGCGCCCAATTCAGGCCAGAACTGGATGAGGTGCGTGGGCCACCCCGGTTCCATGCTTCTTTGACGATGTTGGCCTTCTGCCGCTGCCGGCCGCTTTCCAAAAAGGCATCGAACTTAGCCAAAGCTTCATCTCGCACAGGCCCACCCGGTAGCAACTGGCACCGCATCCACAGCGCGGTAGCAAGTTTGCTATTCAATCTGGGAGGAGATTGTGGCTTGCAAGTTGTTGCCACGACGTCAAAGCCATACTGGGGTTGTCCTGTCCAATCAGCATCGCGCACTAAAACTTACTGCAGCAGAGCGCTTGCCCACCTGAACTCACAAGTGAGATCAAAAGACCACAGTCCTGCTGTGCGGGAAGGCGCACCTTGACACAACTCTCGTACAGCACGAGGTTTAGGGTTTAGGTTTTAGGGTTTTGGGTTTAGGGTTTAGGGTTTAGGGTTTACGGCCCAGCGACTCATGGAGCCCCACCATGCCCTTGGCCACCACATCCAAGTCTTCGCCGACTGGTAGCAAGCACCGATGCTGCATGAGCGAATAAAACCCACCGCGAGGGTTCAGGTTCAGCTCACACATCAGCGAAGGTCCGACTTCACCCCAACCGTCGGTGGTTTTTTTCGCCATCTTTGTTTATGATATCTGGCACCCCTGGGACCTTCACGTCAGATGGAAGTGAAAGTGGCATGGAAGGGGTGAATAGCAGCGGCACTCTTGCATATGTGTCGTGCAAGAAGCCGCCTGACTTCAAAATCCGCCCAAAGGTGGTCTGAGAAGAAATTTCCTTCAGGATGTCGGTTGGCAAGTAGTACAAGTGGCCATCCTTCCCACAGACTGCAAGCAACTCCGGTGGAAATTCAGAGCAGTCCCTGGCCCACCTCGCTAACTGTGGTGGCTTGCAGGAGAGCGAACCGAAGTCGAAGGAGAAGAACGGGCATTGGCGCCCAAATCCCAGAGCATAAAACCCTCACCGCAGACTCTCAGCCTAAACCCTAACCCCTACTAAACCCCTAAAAACCTCTAAACCCCCTAAACCTCCTAAACCCCCTACACCCTCAAAGCCCCTAAAACCCAAAACACATACAAATCTAAACCCCTATGAACCCGAAACCCGAAACGCCGTACAAGCCTTAAAACCCTCAAAGCCCTAGCGGGCCTCCTTCTTTGCCTTGGGCTTCGCACTAAGCTTCGCCCTGGCCTGCGCTTTTTGGGCTCTTTGGGGATTTTAGGGGTTCGTAAGGTTTAAGGTTTAAGGGTTTTAGGGTTTAGGGCTTAGGGTTTAGGGCTCAGGTTTAGGGATCAGGTTTTTGCATGTTTTGTTTTGGTGGCTTTGTGGTTTTGGGTGTTTTGGCCTTTGAGATTTCCTTGGGGGTTTG